CTTTCCCTTTTTTCTTGGTTTTGCTAGTTTCAGACGTGGGCTCCTTGCTTAACTTGTAGTCAAGCAACCCATCTGCTGCAGCCATGGCAGAGGGCAAATCTTTGACACCAAGTCTCTGAAGTTCCAACTGGGCCCAATTCTGCAACCCAGACATAAAGTTGAAGAGTTGATCTTCCTCTAACATGTTCTTGATGTTTAGCATCAATGAACTGAATTCTTTCACAAAGTCTCTCACCGATCCAGAATGCTTCAACCATTTCAAGGCGTCTCTTGCAACTTAAGATGTGTTGCAAGGAAGGAATTGTTCCTTCATTTCCTTCTTAAGAGTCTCCCATGTTGAGATCTCTGGCCGAGCATCATCCCCGACACGTGTATGCCACCAAAGTTTAGCATCACCAGTAAGGTACATGCTTGTGATTGTAACCTTCTCTCTTTCTGGCACATGAGTAGCCTTGAAGTACTGCTCCATGTCCCATAGAAAATTCTCAAGTTCCTTGGCACTCCGATTTCCACCGAAAGCTTTAGGGTCTGGAACTTTGATTTTCAAAGGAGTCTTGTCAGAATTCGTATGCCCACAGACAGCCTTCTTTAGAAGGGTTAGTTCGTCCATAACTTCCTGAAACTTGTCCTTCCACGAATCCGAAATGGCAAGCATATCCGTCAGCATGTCTTTGAACCGATCTGCTGTCGAGGTCTCAAGGGCAAGAAACCCTGAGGCCACAGCATCCAATCGATTAGTCAGCGAGCGGATCTCATCAGCAGGTTCACCCATGAGATTTTCCAACCGCGTTACTCTTTCTTTCAAGGTATCCATGCCAGAAACCATTAGAGCATAACCGTGCTCTGATACTAATTGTTACAGGGTCAATTTTCGTTTCAATTTTTTAGCTTGTAATGGCACTAAGTTACAGCACTTAATCTCAGCCAATTATGAATACACACCCACACAAAGTGTTAGAACAAGTAAGAGAGTAGGCAACAAAAGATTACAGAAAAATTTCCAACCTTTATTAATTGCACC